GACTGGCCCCCCTGTAAGTTTTCCCTGCTGTGCCCTGCTCCTGCCTTGTCTCACCCTGGCCTCTACTAACGCGGCCCTTGCTTGCTCCCCCGATAACAGGGTCCTGCTGGTCAAGATGGCCGCCCTGGTCCCCCCGGCCCCCCTGGAGCCAGAGGTCAAGCTGGTGTGATGGGTTTCCCTGGTCCCAAAGGTGCTGCGGTGAGTGAATGGGAGCTGCTGGAGATGATGCATCCCGATGGATGCAGGAGCTCTGGTCCATGAGGGATCCCGCTGCCACCACCTGGTGGTGGGGTGGCACTGGGGATGTGTTGCCTTCGGGGACGGCCTCCATCCTGCCTGAGCCTATAGGCTCCCGTCCCTGGGCATGGTGTTTCCACCATGGATCTCATCCTGCTCTTTTCCTTCCAGGGTGAGCCTGGCAAACCCGGTGAGAGGGGTGCTCCCGGCCCCCCCGGCGCCGTGGTATGTATCCACCAGAGCTCAGCACAGTGAGATCTTCGCTGGGAGCTTCCCCCTAGTGTAGGGGGGCCAGGATGGGTCTGGGAGGGCTCCAGGGATGAGGGCAGCCGCGGATAGGGGTGGGAGGTGATGTGGCTCAGCGGGGCTGCTCCTGACCCTCAGGGGATGCAATGGCCACATCCAGCCCCACGCCTGCTCTGGGGGCTGCAGGGTCCTGTCAGGGCCGTGCTCTGAGCACCCTCTTCTTCCTCTTCCACAGGGTGCTGCTGGCAAAGATGGTGAAGCTGGTGCCCAAGGTCCTCCTGGCCCTACCGTGAGTATCAGTGAGCCCTTGGCCACCCATGGCCACCCTTGGCCACTGGACAAGGGGCTCAGGAGCTGACTGAGCACCCCTCTTATGCTTGTCCTGTTCCCCCCCCAGGGTCCTGCTGGAGAAAGAGGTGAACAAGGTCCCGCTGGTGCTCCTGGCTTCCAGGGGGAGGGGGTCCAAGGGCACCAACCATCCACTGTGGGGGTGATGCTGCCCCTTTCCTTGTCCCCTGTGGTCACCCACTTCTGTGGTGTCTCACCACTCCTCTTCTTCCCCCCAGGGTCTGCCGGGCCCCGCTGGCCCCCCCGGTGAAGCTGGCAAGCCTGGTGAGCAGGTGAGTGTGGCTGAGCATGGCCATGGCATGGGACTGTCCTTGTGCCCTCCCCACCACAGGGCTGGAGGCTGCTGGTGGG